GTCGCCTTTATCGCGCTTTAGCTATTTAAATCGGCAAGTTTCTCGCGAATCGAAAATTTGATCAAACCGGGAACATATCGATTCCAGAGAAAATATTAGAATTCCAAGATTTCTCATCGGTCGAAAAAGCTTTTCTGTCTTTCATCAAGTGTGCCTGTTATCCGTCGTTGCTTTCTGCTTGTCGGTACTTAATATATATATATATATATATATATATATATATATATTACACATACATACGTATATATATATATACATATATGTCACTGTTGCCAATTAGAGAAAGGTATAAGACCGGCGAAGGATAATCGGCTGAATCGTGTCTCGTTCCTTCTGCTCTCGGGTTTTGGGTTATAATAAATGTGAAACGTGTCAAGAGTGGTAATCGTCCCTTCGTCGACGAAGATCGTCGTCCAGCGAAGCAATCAACGGCACCTTAACAAGGATAACGCATGTTTTTCTAACAGAGAAATCGAGCTGTGCCACCCATCCGCCTGTAGAAGCCTCTATCCACTTGGTCGATGAAGGGTCCATATTGAAGAGTTGCCAATACTAATCGAGGTTTGAACGATTATGCGGAAAACGATCGAAATCTGAGCATTTTCTTCCTTTTCCCGCGATAAAATTCGATCGTAACACACCCGATAATATTTTCAATTGAAAATCAAGGAGAATTGAAAGTAATGGAGAATCAAGAGAGATCGCTGTTCGCTCGAATGCAGCCGAGCAGAGATTCGATCCGATTACAAATCGGGCGAAAAGGGTTCGAGGCAGGAGGGAACGTAAAATCAACGACGGAGAGCGGGAAACAAATCGATGAACGCTATTCCAAAGAGCGTATCAGCCCTACCTCTTCCGGAAAGTATGTGGCGACACCTCGCCCGACGATGGACAATCTAAAGCAGTGGGAATTGGTAGAGTGCGGTCGCAGTTTGCGAGTAGTGGAGAAGAGAATCGGCGTGAAACCTCGGGAAGAGGTAACGGATGTTGAACGTATCTCAAGCTTGGCTGGAAGGAAAACACTTGCGGAGAACATAGCCATCGATGCGAATCTCGAAGAGAAGTTGAAAGCTTTCAAAGACTCGAAGATCGTTCAACCTATTATGGCGCCTCGTACCGATGACGCGAAAGTCCCGATTAATCTCGAACTAATCCTGAAACAGCGGAAAGGCTCGGCTGTCGAGAGTACGGATATGCTTCAACGATTAGAACAGCAGGTCAAGGCCATCGAAATGGACACTCTTGCAGCTAGAATGCGCCAGTTGGAGTTTAGCTCGGATTTCGAGCCGGAAATTCGATACACGGACCTTCACCGATACAGGGAACAGGAGGATCTACTTCGAAACGTGACGGATAACGAGGCCGAGGGGTAACATTTTCTCTCTCTCTCTC